AGAGAGTAACTCTGCCTTGCTTTTAAAAATGTGAGCGATTTGGCCACAGGTCTGAGTGTTTCTTTGTGAAAATGAATATTCGTTCAGGTTTAACATTCCAACAGTCCTAGGTAATTGCCTAACTACAGTGAGTTTTTGAATTTGCATAGTATTCTGCAATTTGTTTAATTCTATGCTGATCTGCTGAGCCTTCAAAAGATGCTTTTTCTTTTCTGGACTCAGCTGAAATGCACTGGGCTAGTGATAGGGTGATAAAGTGACTGATTTGCTCTGGACAAAACCAAAAGTGTTTCCTAGATATGAGATTTTTGGTGTTAAAACTGGGACTCTCCTGGGCAAATGAGGATAAATTGGTCATTCTCCCTAATTAGAGTTGGGGAGTGGGATGGTTAGGGGTCTTTGCTGTGTTTCAACTGACTATTGGGTGGGTGTTTGATTGCACAGGTGGGTCATTCTACCTGCTGGCTCAGGTGACTGAAATCTTTGAATTCCAGCAGGTCCATGAGCTCTTCTGCTCACTCTCATGTACCCTAGTTTCTTTGCACACACTGCCCAGAGGCCAGCCTGGGGTGGGGGAGACCACTGCCCCCAACAATCCCCCTTGCTTACTTGCCACCATGCCACTTCCCCTGCATAAGAACCACCGTTGGGACTAAAGTGCATCCCTTCAGGAAGAAAACAGCAGCTCTCTACTTTGCATCAGAGGTGAGTGTTCCAGCCCTAAATGTGTAGAATGGGACCATTTCTTCTGTCTGAACCTCAGTTTCCCCTTCTGTATGATGTGGGTGTAGATGGAGGGTGGGGAGGTGGGGAGGGCCAGACCCACCTTGTAGTAGCTTTGTTGTGAGGATGAATAAAATTATGAATGTGAAAGCGCTTTGAAAACTACACCTCTGTACAAAAGTTAATTATTATTAGACAACAATGGCAGAGGAATACGTCCAAGGAGGGCAAAGTTAAAATGCCTCTAAAATTTTGCTGTGGAAGTCGGTTCCTTTAATCCTTTCCCAAAGGAGCCTTGGAGAGAAAAGGGCCAGTAAGCAGGTGCCTGTGGGTGCAGGTGTGGGTGCGTGCAGGTGTAGTGGTAAGGGCAGGGGTGTCGTGAGGGGAGCAAATAACATTTGTTGACCCAGAGTGAGGGAAGAGTCGATGGCAGAAGGCCAGCACTACAGCAAAACTTCCAGCCACAACTTCACCGTTTTGCAGAGGGCAGAAGTGTTCAGGGCACTGGTAGCTTTTGCTCCACCCTCTCGCCTCACAGAGTTGCCCAATCCTGCCACAGCCACATGAGACTTCAACCCTGTCCCTGCACTCAGGAAATGGCCGATGGCCTGCCCTAGGGCCTCCTGGTGGCTGTGCCTGAGAATCAGTCATTAATTATTCCAGGTTCCCCACCTCCCTAGGCTTTGAAAACACAGCAATAGAAATACAGGTCCTGGCAGGTGAAAGGAAAAATGCCACTGGCTGGGCTGCTGAAGGCAGTTTGGAAGAAACCAAAGTGGCTGGTGGCATTTGTCCAGTTGGTTTGGGTGGGAGCTGTGTCCTGGGCACTTGCCCCTCCAGCTCTTTGCCCACCCCACAGCCTTAGGCAGCAGCTGCTGGGGCTTCTGGAACGAGACCTTGGTACTTTCAAATGGGTGAAAAAAAACCCTTACTGGACACAAAAAGGAAGGGGACAGAGGGAGATAAAAGGATCGATATATACAGCTCATTTCTTTCTCTAGTAATTATAGTGTTTTTTATTTTAAGTTACAAAAAGTGAGCTAGACCCTTTTGGCCACCCATTTTGCAGATGAGGAAACTGAATCCTAGGAAGGTAAGTGATGAGCAAGGCCACCCAACCAGTACGGGGCCAACTAGGTGGCCAAAGAAGCACCAGTGACTCAGGCTTTGCTTTAAATGTTAGAAATTCTACTCACTCCAACCTAGTTTTTCCCACTCCCCACACCTGCCTCCTCCCCTCAGGAAGGAAGTTTCTGGAACCTAGGGAGTGGCCAGGGTGAGGTCAGAACCCCAAGGCTAGAAAACTTTCCTGCCACAGGAGAGGAGAGTAG